TGAAATGATTTGCCCAAGATGGCACAATGAGTGGATATTTTGGGATGCAAGACCCTTGTTCAGATGTGTGCACTATCCTGAGCATCTGGGAAGGCATCTAAAGGAGGTGGTACCTGGAACTGAAGGAGTTAGAAAGCTCTGTGAGCTTCCAGAAAGTCGGCCTGGTGGTCGCCCAGGCCATTCAGCTGTTCTACTTGAGAAGGTGTGGTCAGTTGCCTCCTGTGTGATTTACAGCCCCTCAACTGCACTGGAGGGTCAGCTATGAGTCAGTTCCAACTGGACTGCAATGAGAGTGTTTGGTCTTAATCAGATCATAGTGTTGCTTATCTCCACCTGCCCTGGGGCTGGTACTAGGCCACAGATGCCTGAGTGCATTGTCTCTCTCTGGACACTGTCTTTCTGAGCATCTGCCAAGGGGAAGAATGGCCATGGGCTGTACCTGCTTATACTGCAGAAAAGAAGAGAAAAAAAGAGCGAAATATGCTCCTCCTTATTTCATGCCTAGGTTCAGAACCCTCCAGGATGAAGCCGACATCTGGGCTATTGTCACTAATATTGAACTCTTAGAAAACTCAAAGTCAAATGATACATCTGAAAGTTAGAGGGTTACCTTAAACTAGACTGAATATGTCTACAATGTATGGTGGCTGTTTCTGCTCAAAGACCACAGAAAACAGTCATGAGTTTGGACTGACCTGACCTGGTTCAGGGTCCAAAACACCTGCAGCTACCAACCAGGGATGTTGTTTCTGTCAATTTTGATGTTTGCACCTTTGAGTCTGACTGGATTGCACTGAGAGTGAACGTGAGTGTGGGTCCTAATTAGATCATGGTATTCCTTAACCCCACCGGCTGCTGGGCTGGCACCAGCCCACAAACACAAAAACGAGTAGATACCCTCATACCCACACTCATAAATGGTTGATCACAGATACTTATGAGCATCGTCTCTGTCTGGACAGTGAGGAACAGCCGTGGATAACAAGTCTGAGACCAATCATCCTGTGAGGGCTTTGGGCTCGGGGAGACAGTAACCTCATTGGCAGATTCCTCATAACAGGCCAAGAGCCAAGCCTCAAATCTCACTCCTCATGAGACAATCTGTCCAGGCATGCCTGCATCCATCCACTCACCCATCCATCCATCCATCCATCCATCCATCCATCCATCCATCCATCCATCCATTCACCCACATTGTACCAGATACTGGAACTGCCTTCAAGGAGTTCATAGTTTGGTGGAGAAGATATATCATTTTGAAAAAAGATTGTAACCAAAGTAACATAAGAACAACAACAAAATAAAAATAGAAGACTCAATTCTGCATGGTGGAAGTTGCTCTGGAACAAACCTTTGGGGAATGCCAGTTTGCCAGGTGGACAAGAGGAAGACCTTTCAGGTAGAGGGAACAGAATGAGCAGAGATGGGAAACCGTGAGAGGCAGCTAAGCATCTTGGGGAGTGCAAGGCAGGAGCAGAGGCAGCTGCTGTCGGCCAGAGCTGATCAGGACAGGTTTCACAGCTAATACAAGAAGGTCACCATGACATTTCAGACTTGGTTTCAGAGGTGGCGAAAACTGATGATGGAATTGTGTAGCAGAGAAGCAACTTTTAAAAAAAAGTATAAATTTTAATCACACCAGATCAAAGCATGGCCAGTTGACTGCTACCATGGTGGGTTATGTTTAAAAATTGGGAGTCTTTGCATCTTCTAAAACATTTTGATAATTTTATTTCTGGTAATTTAAAATTTTGAGCTTGTATTTTATGTTGAATTTTTCGACACAAATTAGCTCTATTAGTTTGTGTAGTTTTAATTTTTTTTTGTTTGAAGAATTTAAAACTCAAAGTTGAAAAAAAAATAGTATAGTAGATACGCATCACCCAGTTTCACCAATTGTTAACACTTGAGCCATCCATTCCCCTGTTGACCTTTAATGCTACACAGTGGTTCTTTTTTCCTCTCTCCCCAAGGGCATCTTGGACCATCTGAGCACTGCTCTGTCCCTTCTCAGAATGTGTTTTGATATTTTTAGGCTAGACTTTGTATTTAATGTATTTTATTTGTTTTTACCTTGTCATCTCTGTAAAGACAAAATTTTAATCCAAGAGATTCCCAAAGGGTGCTTTCAGATGTCTTTGTCCACCAGATGGATTTAGCAGATCAGTCTCCCAGGCTATTACCCCAGACTCTCCTAACACTGATCCCAGTGACCACCCTGACCTATGGGCTTCACTCGTCAGGTCCTGTATCATCCCACCTGTGCCCTTTTGCTCTGCCTTTTCCTTGAACTTGGCATACCCTTCCCACTTCCCACCTCTACCTCAACTAAACCCTATTATGTTTTTTCCTTTAATATTTATTGTACTCTTCCCAAGAATCATGGACAAGCAAATGGTCTTAGAAACTCTTGTGGGTCTTTGCAATAATCTTACAAAGTAGGCACTATTTCGTGAATGGGGATTAGTGGACTGCTCCTGGGCTCAGGGCCAGCACATTGGCAGAGCTGAGATTTGAACCTAGATTTGGTTTTGGTCATGGATTCAGGGTCCTTGTGATCCACAGCTCTTCACATAAAGCTCTGCGGTGGTCAGGAACTGAAGGGGAAAGCACTTGACAAACCTAGGGGTGCCTCTGACCAACCAACCCATTACTCGAGCAGATCCTAAGCTCAGGATTTTCACCTCAGCATGTGACTCCACTGGAGTCTCAGAATATTAAGCCTGTTCTCTTCTCTCCTGTCCTTGGGCTTCTAGTGGTCAAGATGCCAGGGATGCCTCTGTTCACTCCAGTCTGACACAAGGTGCCCGCACTGCCAGCCAGGCCACACTGGGGATGCTGGGGCAGCAAGGCTTTCCCTAGGATGATAGGTTGTTTCCTATTCCAACTCTCTTTATTCTTCCCTTATACCTTCTACCCTCTACCCTTCTTTAAGTAAAAGTGGGGATTGAGGGGCTGAAGAGGGAGCCGGTATCCAACTCTCATCCTATAAAAGTTGTCTGTTTCCCTGATCTGGAGCACTGCTATGGCGCTTGGTTTAAGTAGCACTGTTTACAATATCAAGGCTAAAATCAGGCAGAAGTTCTAGGTCCTCAAACCAAGGATCTTTCTTGATGGTGTTCAGGAGCAGAGCCTGACAGTGCCAACGGCGAGGAGGTTTTCTTTATTCTAACTTTTAAAAAACCAACAGTTGCATTAAGCGGCTTGGTCAGAGTTCATGAACGACAGGTGTCTGTCCCGGCCAGCCCTGGTGGGACTCTGGGCCCTGTGGAAGAGTTCTGTCTGGTTCTAAAGCCTTGGATTCTGCCTCTGCCTCAGTCCTGAGCCTCCTGTCTTCTGAATATCCTGGATGGAGATGCTCTGTGTGCCTTTCTGCTGACTCAGAGTTATTTCTGGTCCAGCTGTACACGGCGTCCACGTGTCCGAGCCCCTCAGGGACGCAGGGCAGGCTGAGGGCCAAGGGAAGAGCACATGTCAGCTTTCCATCCAAACAGAGTCACCCCAAAAGGGAGGACATCTCCAGGGCTGGCTCTTTCCACAGAATGCTCTGAACTGATCTCATTATGCCTCTCTCCTGGGCCAGCAGAAAATGAGTGTCCTCTTCCAATTTAGAGAACAATGTGTTCATGTTCCCTGATGACTGTTGGACAAACAACAAACCTTAATGGGAAGCCTTGACCATCTCTGCTCTATTCAGCAAGTAGAAATCTTAGGCAGAAGATATTTTCTTCCCTTTGTAATAGAGACCTTTCCTAGCTCTTGTGGAAAAAGACCCGAGACCATTGCCAAAACAGCCTCTCAAAGACTTTGAAGAAAACAGAAGAAAGCTAACAGCCCTGTAGTCCTTTGAAATAGGTAAAGGAGTAGGTGATTTCCTTTTCTGTCCAAGAAAGAATTGGTCAGATTCTCAGTGCCTGTCCAGCAGGGGTGGGTGTCACCTCCAAGGGTCACCTTTGGGACTTGGCTCCCCCCAGTGTTCCTGGCTCAGGGAACAGAAGCTCCCAGAATGCTCTATGCAAAGTCCCACGTGGTCTACTCTGGGAAGACAAACGAATCCCTCCCTAGAATGTGGCGGAGATGGAGACACAGGGCTCCAAACAGTGAGCCAAGTCTGTCCCACAATTGGTCACTCTCCTGCGTCTAAAAACCCAGGAGTCTCCATTCCTTACCCAGTATCATCTAATCCACCATTTTGGGATCATTTTCAGTCACCCCTATAAAAAATGTGACCTGACCCATGACTCGTGTTCAAGAATCTGATCTCACTGTGCCAGTGAGAGAGTCTATGGAGTGACGGTGCTTTTTATGGATAGCTTTATTAAACTATGTCTTGGTGCAAAGAGGCAATGAACTCCAAAGGCACGCTCTTTGGAAGAGATACCTAAAAATGCTGAGGAGAAAGTCTAGTGCTCAAATAGTTACACAAAGTTGAAATCCTCCCCAGAGTCACTGTGATCCGCAAGCTCTCTTGCCAGTTTCTCATGTCTTCCTGAGAGAAGACCAAGGACACTGGTTTGGGAAGGAGGAAGTGGGAGAGTTGTGGACAGAAGAAGCTGCTCTTGTGGGAGCAGCACTCCAGTTTAATGTGCTGAGGCCGGCCATGGAGGCAATCATGGCCACCTCAGGGCATATGCCTGCTGACCCTGGCGAGTTACAGAGCCGCAGATGACATAGTACGCACAGACGTGTCAAGGACAGCTAAAGTTTTGGCAAATGTCACTCTCCATAGCAAGCAGAGCAGTCAAAGTTAGAAATGCCACACACTCGAGATTGTAAAAGGCAAGGGGCAGGAAGGAGCAAGTCTGGCGGGAATTGTTTCAGGGCCAACAAGCCAGCCAAGCAAAGCACAAGCCCTTGCCAGAGAAGATAGCATTTCAGTAGATTCTGCAGATTTTTACTTCTGGTGAAAGGAAAAAGTGAAGAGTGAACCTCCAGCATCTTCAGCAATGACATTAGCAACTCATCGCAGTCAATGGGATTTCTACTCACAGCAAACTCACGTCTTAATGCACAGGGCTGCTGCTGAGGCTTTCTTGGCTATAATCTTTATTAAGCAGGTGGCCGGGCCTTTCTTCTGCCCTGGAGGAGTTGGAACCACCAGCTAGTAGCAACAAAGCAAACCACTTGCTTCACCCAGGCCAGTTGAAGATGGTCCCAAACTTGTTGATTACTTTCTTCTGTTGCTGTTGTGTGTCGATGAATTGCCTGTGTCCCATAATGACCCTGTGTACAGCAGCTCTGAAGCCTGGTCTGGCCTGAGCCAGTCTCACTGACTCTGATACACCTACCCACATTGTCCTAGTTACTTCCTTCTAAGGACCTCAAAATGGAAAGTTTTCCATTGGTTCATCCCATGCCACTGATCTGCACTTCCTTGACACTGCAGAGGGAAAAACATTCTCAGAAATGAATGGATTAGTCTTGTAAATGACAAGGGGAAGGAATTTGACAGGTAAAGTTGTCTCAAATTCAGTGACATTTAGCTTTTATTTATTTTTTTTTCTCTCACACCAACAAAAATTTCTGCCAAGGGACAGAGAAGCTGCTGGCGACTTTAAAGAGCTGCCACTGTTTCCTCAAACTGTGTGACTGCCCTTGTCCAGGTACCCAGCCAGCAAGATAAGCACGGGGGACTCACTCGTGGTTGCTTACTAATCTGTAGCAAGAAATTCCCCATTTTTCACCACATCAAAGATTCTGCTTCATAGGTACGACTGATATCTGTCTCTCTCCTAACCTCATAGCACCTTTCTACAAAATTAAATCCTCTTTTCAAGTTTAGAACCCAGGCCAGGGACAGAGGAATCTATAAGCCAGGCAAGCACAGGCTTATTTACTGATCGGTAGTGAACACTGCCACTGCCACTGCCACTCAGTTTGCACCTCATCTTCCACGCTTACCTTGCTTATTGGATCTTTGGTCTCTGATGGCTCATACTGATAGCCTCCTACCCAGCCCTGTCCACAGCCCTGGGGTCCGCTACTCATAAGGCCTGCCCACATTAGCTCAGGAATAAACCCTAATGAGGGAGAGATAAAGCAAAGTTTCATGGTTTCACTGACCTTGAAGCGGGAGTCTCCACGTCCTGCTGCAAGCAGACAGGCGAGAAGTGTAATGGGAGCTGCAGGAGCCTGGCAGGGAGAAGGCTGGGGCTGGGCGGGGCTGAGGACCCATGCCGGCCAATCCTGCCTGGGACCTCCTGGAAGACTTGCTCCCCCAGCTGCGCCCTTGAAGGACAGCCAGGGACTCTTCTGCCACCAGGGTTTTTTCTAGAACTTAGCTCTCTCTAAAATGTTTTCTTCCCTCTTAGAGAAAAGGCAGAACCGGCTGTGTTCCTCTAACCCAGTCCTGGACATGCCACTTCAGGGTGCTGCGGGGGTTCCTGGGGCCTCTACCTGGCTGATGAGCTGTCCAGCCTGCAGGGCCAGGCCTCTGGGTGGAAGAGCCTGTGGGGAAACTGCCAACAGTTACAGGAGATTTTCCCCCCCTTCCCTCTGTCAGGAGCTCCACTCTAAGGGTCCCAGATTCTGGGGCCAGGGTCTTTGGGGAGGAAGGCATCTAAAGACTCCTCATTCTTGTCACTAATCTAGTCTGGAGCCAGGTCTGGGGCCTCCTCCCAGCTTTGAGTCTGGGACCTGGATTCAGGAACACTATCAATGAGATGTCCCACTAGCGTAGGACTATCTCAAATAGACCACTCCCCGAAAAGTCCAACAGGCCATATTTCTGCTTAAAAATAGCCTTCCTTGGGACATCTACTCCAGACCGGAAAGGTTGACTGTAAATAGCAACTACCCACCAGGATTTTGGACAGCAGCCCTGCCATTTCAGATGGAGCTGCCTCGGCTTCTGGTGAAGGTCACGTACCAGTTTCTGTGGCCACGTGAACACTGTCAGTGGATGTATTTGATTTGCTTCTCAGAGCACTGGCCTGGGCTCAGAGGTGATATAGCCACAGAGCTCAGGAGTAACCACCTAATAGGTTCTCTAGTAATGCTTTCTTTCCCACTTTAAACAAACAGGTGATAACAATTGAATTTTGTGGTGGGTGGGGTTCTGGCGGGGAAGTGAATGAAAGGTATTCATATATATATATATATATATACACACACACACACACACAAACACATACACACACACAAAACATAGGGACCCTCTGGTGGCCTAGTGGCAAGGAGTTGTGCTGCCATCTCAAAGGCATGCAGTTTGAATCCAGTGGTTCCACAGGAGAAATATGGGCAATCTCCTCCTGTATGATGATCTGCTTCTGAAAACCCACTGAAGGGTCAGCTATGGGTTAGTTGCAGCTCAATAGTACACAATAACAAAACATTTACTATTCCATCCATCATCATATACCAAATCAAGCTTAATACTATCAATTCTGATTCACAGTGCCCCAACATCAGGCTTCTGAGGCTGCAAATCTTTATATGAAGAGACCACTTATTTTTTTCTTCTCCCAAGAGTAGTGTAGAAAATTGGAACAGCCTGCTTACTGACAGTGAGGAAGACTACAGCCTTCAATACGGACCATATCTCAACGTGAAGATGACAAAAATACTCACCACCGAACCAGTAAGCGAAACCATGATGCTGTTGTTAGGTGTTGTCGAGTCAAGTATGACCCATAGTGACCCTGTGAACAACAGATCTGAACCCTGTCCTATCCTGTGCCATCCTCACACTTCTTGACACATTAGAGTCCATTACGGCAGTCACTGTGTCAATCCACCTGACTGAAGGACTTCCTCTCCTTTGCCAATCCTCTACCCTTCCAGCATCGTGTCCCTCTCTCCTAGGAATAGCACCTCCTAATAACATGCTCAAAGTATGGAAGGCCTTTAAAGAGCACTCTGGCTGCACCTTTTCCGAGACATATTTGTTTGTACTTTTGGCAGCCCATGGGATGTAAGCGCTCTTCTCCAACGCTACAGCTCAAAGGCATCAGTTCTTCTGTTATCCTTATTCATTGTCCAGCTCTCAAATGCATAGCAAGTGATTGAAAGACCACGGCTTAAATCAGATGCACCTTAGTCTTCAAATGGACATCATTACTCCTCAATAATTTGGAGAGGTCCCTAACTGCAGACTTTTCCAGTGCAATACATCTCCTGATTTCCTGACTGTTGGTACCAAGAGTGTTAATTGTGTATGCAAATTAGATGAAGTAGTTGACAGTTTCAATCCTTTTTCCATCTATCATGATGTTGCCTATCAGTCTAGCAGTAAGAATCATTGTTTTTGTGAGATTTGAATAATAGTTGTATAATTAACAGATCTTCCTTGTATGCGTATGAAACTCTTTTAAACAGTTGGAAGGTAGATTGATTTTATTTCATTAACAGTCAAGTGTGAGCTGTTTGATCAATTTTATTTAATTAACAATCATTTGTGAGCTGCTTGGTGGTTTTGATTTAATTAAGAATCAGCTGTGGGCTGGAAGCTCCTTGTTTAAACCAATTAGGACTGGGTTGGGGGCCTTTGTCATTAAAAGTTGGTTGTGAAAGTCATGATAAATAGAGAAAAGATTGAAGTTGTCAATGATTGCATTTTATATGGCTCCACAATCAACACCTGTGGTACCAGCAGTTTGTTGTCAGGGGCCTCTCCAAATTACTAAAGAGAATTGATACCAGTTTGAAAACTAAGGTGTGCTTGGATCAGGCCATGGTCTTTTTATTCACTTGCTATACATCTGAGAGGTAGACAAAGAATAGGGATAATTGATGCCTTTAAGTTGTAGTGTTGGAGAAGAGCACTGTAAAGATCATAGCCGGCCAAAGGAACAAACAGATATGTCTCAGAAAAAATGCAGCCAGGGTGCTCCTCGGAGGCAAGATGGCAAAGTTTCATCGCACATATTTTGAGCGTGTTGCCAAGAGAGGCTTTTCCTTGGAAATGGAATCTATGCTTAGAAAGGTGGAGAGTCAATAAAGGAGAGGGAGACCCTCAATGAGATGGATTGACAGAGTGACTACAACGATGGGCTCAACTGTGTCAGTGTGAGTATGGCACAGGATAGAACAGGATTCAGATCTGTTGTTCACAGGATCATTATGAGTCAACTCAACTCAACGGCACCTAACAACAACAACAGCAACCCACCTCTCACTTACTTACTCACTGGCCTGTTACTCACTTCACCACCAGTATCTGTGCAAAAATGTCTTAAGTTATACATACAGAATTCACACACTTTACTGTTATACTGTTAGAAACTATGGAGCTAATTTTGTCTCATTTATAGTGAGTGGTCCTATGTGGGACCACTTACAGAATTTTCTTGGTAATCTTCATGGATTCAGGAGGGATCAGTACCTGAAGAAAGATATTACATTAGATGGAGAGCCGAGGGGGAGGGAGAATGGAAGATTCTTAATGAGCTGGATTGACACAGTGATTGCAACATTGCACTCAAGTAGAGCCGTGAGAATGGCAAAGGCAGGGCAGCGTCTCCTCCTGTGACATGCAGGGTCTGTAGGAGCCAGGACTGGCCCAGTGACATCTAACTACCATCGGTGTTAACATAGATTGCCATGTTGTTCTCCCAGAGAGCCAGTGAGTGGGTTCAAACACTTTGGTCAGAGAGTCAAGCACTTAATTATTTGATATATATGTTATCCCAGTGACCACGTTTATATGAAATCAAGGCCAAAAATTTTAAAAAAGCAACCTCCTTTTTACCTATTACATACTTGTTCTTTTCTATGCCTTTTCATAATTTTATTAAAATTATTGCAGATCAGCACCATCTAAACAGATTTCATCATTCCCCAAAACATCATGCCACTCTCTTAGAACCCCCCCCCCACCCAGCCAGTTTGTGACTTCTGCTCTAATGAGCCACAGTCCCTCTGGCCTGAGCACCATACAGGCAGAACATGGCCAGAGGCCATGAGGCTACCTCTTGTTGTATGGACAGAAACAGGAATGATGTATATAACTGCCATATTATCAGTTTGGCTTTAAAAATTTTTTTCATTTTATATTGATTTTTTTTACAAAGTTCATATAACATTGTGTTTCACACTATTCTTCATTCACTTTGTGTTTCATACAATCATTCCCATTCATTATGTTTTATAAAATTAATCAACATTGGGCTATGCCCGCCATTCCCTTGTCTTTTCAGATCCCCACCAGACCTTTACTATTTCCTTTATCCCCTCCATCCACTCACCACATTGTGAAACTCTGTGATTTTGCCCCTACCTCTCCTCACCCCTCTGTTCCCACTCCTTCCCTGCTTTGGATCCCTATACATGTTTTACTATTTATCTTTCTATTTCTAAAATAACGATATTATTCAGTGTTTGTCCTTATGAGACACCACTGCAAGAACATGGAAACAGCCCAAATGTCCAACCATAATTGAATGGATTGAGAAATTATGGTACATTCACACAAATGGAATACTACACAGCATGCAGGAGCAATGATTTTGTAAATTACTACCCAACTGGGGGGCGGGGGTGGGAATGACTGGAGAGCATTATGCTAAGTGAACTAAGTCCCATAAGGACTTATTGTATAAGACCATTAGAGTAGAAATAGATAGCTAGTAAAACACATATGAGGATCTGGGGCGGGGGGCGGGTGCAGAGCGGTGAGGATGGGAAGAGTGTAATCATAGGGTCACACAATTTGATAGATGGAGGGAGGAATGAGTTAAGGAAATGAGAAAAATCTGGTATGTATGCTAACTTTGTAAGTAAACCAGTATAAAATAAAATAAAAAAACAAACAAGCAAACATCTGATCTCTTGCATTACCCCGATGCAGCTGGTAAGCCTTGGGTTGCTCTGTCCTAGATCCTGCCCTGTCTGGTAATTGTAACCATTTCTGTCAAGATGCCTGAGGAAGTGCACCATGGAGAGGAGGAGGTGGAGACCTTTGTCTTTCAGGCAGAGATCGCCCTACTCTTCTACTCCACTTTCATTCCAACAAGGAAATTTTCATTAGGGAGTTGACCTTTGGATGCACTGGACAAGATTCACTATGAAAACCTGACAGACCCTTCCAAGTTGGATGGTGGTAAAGAGCTGAAAATAGACATCATCCCTAACCCCAGGAATGTACCTTGACTCTTGCGGACACAGGCATTG